TCCCTCCTCGCTTTTCCCAAACATGATGTTTTACTGCAATTTAGTACCAAAGCCATTATAAATATGGATTAAAAACATGCCTTGCGAAAAGTGAAAAAGTAAGAACCATACCCCCCACCCTAATCCCTATTGAGATTCTGCTGGGCTAGATATTTGGACTGATGCCCGCAGAATCCTCAGCGGGCGTCAGTCCAAATATCTAGCCCAACAGAATCTCAACAGGGATTACCCCCCTCCCTTCGTTTTTTCAGATAAAAGTGTCAATTATTTTTCTGGGTATCCGTTTAAAAAACGATGCTGCATGCATGATGACTAGATTAGACTAAATGAATAAAATTTGCTTTATAAACTTCTTGGAAATGGTAGGCTCTTTAGAACCATCTGATTAATGTTTATAAACTCAATGAGGGTTTCAAAAAGGAGGACTCCCTTCCTAATCGTTCCCTAAAAATTCCCACCCTCAACTTTTCTGGATTTTTTTTTGACGATAAAAACTCTGACTCCTGTGCTCGGGTCATGGAGCAGTGAGGGATCTTGTTCTTGCCAGCATCTACTGCGACATGGGACCTCGGCTTATACAGTCTCATCCGAAGGACTGGTCCCCACGTTCAACTCCTTAATTACTTCCCGACTCATTCCACGCGAGCGACCATCTGTTTTAAAAAAAGATTTAAAAAAATCTACTTAACACATGATCACTTCAAAGATTTTTAATATAAATTTTCCGTTTATACAGCATATAATCTAATGTGTATTTTACAAACTATACATGAATAAATTTGTCAATACATTTTCAAGTTCCAGAATATTTTCTAAATGAGGGAAGGGGGTTTATGCCCCTTAAAAAAAGTCATCCAAATGCAAAAGACCTATTTTTTTGTGTGTATTGAAGCGGGGGCTAATGGACATTAATTCCTTGTTAAACTGTTTCAAGTTTGTTTATGATACTTCTACTTATTTACGAAAGATTCATAACTCCTGAAGGGGGTTGGTGGGCAGGGTTATTTCTTGATTGTTTTACTGTATAAAATTCATAACTGAAGGTCTGAGGGGGCCAGAACTCTCAAACTGCCCACTCCTTCCTGCCAAATCTCCCAGTAACACAGCAGAAAAGGCTTTTAAAAATGTTGAAACATTATTCAGGATTGTTGGGAGTTTTAACAAGAGTATACCCCTGCTAATATATTGTATTTACAAACAGTCTTATGGACAGACATGAAATTAATTTGTATATTAAACAATTCACGAGTATTTATTTATATGTTTATGATACGAATTGGGGAAAAGATAAAACTGTTAAGAAGGAATTAACTTGCCACCCTTATAGCACCCCCATTTCGTCTTGCATAATTTTCAAATCACGAAAGTACAATTTACATGTCACCAGTTGACAAATCGCAAATCTACAAATTACATGAGAATATTGGCAAAACTTGCATTTAACACTGTCGAATTAAGTAGGATAGTTACAATTAATAAATTGTGATAGAATTTTTGACAAATTTTAAAATTATGATTTACAATTTACAAATTCAGGTTTACAAGTGTACATTTTAAGAATTACAGAGTTGGAATTTCAAACCTGTTGGCTCTCCATAGAATGTAACATGAACATTGGGTTGTAGGAATGACAGTTTGTTAATATGAGGTAAGCATAGTAAATCAATAACTTGCTCTTTGAGTGGTAGGTATAACCATGATAACATTTCTGCAGAGAGATTCAGGTTTATGTATCACAAGAGATGTTTTAAAAATTAAGTAAATATTTTTTTGGTATTGATGAATCCTTAATTAATTAACTTACTAGAATACACTAACATATGATTATTTTTCTTTGGCTATAAAAATTATTTTCTTTGTACAGAAAAGCATGACTTGATTGTCAGGGTCAACAAATAGATTATAACCCAGAGATGCTTGGATCTATATCATTTTATGAATTCCAAATATAAGTAAAGAAGAATGTTGATAATTTTATTATGTTCATTAAAGTGTGTCAAAACATTATTATTTCTTTTTGAGGCGGTTGCAATCTTCAGGAGAGGTTTGTAGAAAAGTTATAACTCAAGTGATTTAGCACACACAAACATGTAGTATTCCTGGACTTATCTAAAATTATATATGAGCAAAGTTTAGTGAGGCTGAATCAGAGAAGATTACTTTAAGACACAGTTTTTGAAAAAAAATGTTATATTGACATCAAACATATGTTAAATTAATATCAAACTCATTTGAATACATTCATCTTTGACAAACAAGGAATATGACTACCTATATGCAAGACCATTCTTTTGTGAATGCACTGACTTGTATTATCCTTAAAATGCTACATTATACCATGGTATACAGTACAATAACATCACTGCATATATTTGATTTTCTTCACTTGTCTTCTTATCCACTGAGCAACAAACAGATTGTCATTTGTATCTAAACATAGTCCCATTGGACCACTCAGTCCACATTCTATGTAACGGAGGAACTGTCCATTCTGGTCTATGATGTGAACACAGTTATTGTTATCATCAGCTGTAAGGATGTGACTCTGACTGTCTGTGGTGATTCCTAGTGGACTGAATGGTTTGTTCTTTGGAGCAGGAGTATGTCCATTGTACCTGAATTTGATCAACAAAATGTAGAAATTGTTAACGTTTATTCATACTTTTTAAAAAGGATTTGGTAGAATTTCAAAAGAAATATAGTTTTTGTATATATCATGTATATAGAATTATATTTTGGTATCAAGAGTTTACAGTCTTTGACACTACTAACTGATTTGTTACTGAAAATAATTGTACTTTAATATGGACAATTTTGTAAAATTCTGTATATGAAAAAGACTATCTGAGTTGTAGAACATTTGTCTTATCCTAATGACTTTGTCAGTAAAATATGTTCAATTCAAAGTGTACCTGAATCTCAGTTTCCCGGCCTGATTGACCACCACTACTTCTCCAGCTTCACGGTCAGAGACACAGATATCCAGGATCCTGTTCTCAGTTATATAACTACCAGATGAATAGAGAGGTTTACCGTTATCATCAAACTGAATGGTTTGTTTCTCTGTGGAGCCAGAGTAATGGACAACTTTTGTTCTTTTATCATCACTGACCATGATAACCAGGTCATCAGAGGAGGTACTACAGACACCGCGAGGTCTCCAGTTCTGTAGTCTGATCACCTCCTTTATCTTCATATTCTTCACAATGTTCACAGTTCTATCATTGGTATCGATATAAACTAGATCTCCACTTTTTGTCACTGCTATGTCAGATGGTTCGTTCCCTGACTTGGTTCTGATTGACTTGAGTAATGATCCCAGATTGATGCTGAAGAGTTTCATGATGTTTTCATCTCCACTTGTCCAGATGTCTTCATCACTTAGACAGGCCACACGGTAAAGGTCTTTATACCCAGTGTGTATGGTGGTGACAGCCTCTGGTTTATCAAGCAGCTGTTTAACTGGAGAAGAGGATCCAGCTTTTGGTGATTTCTGTGCTGTCTTCATGCTGTACCCATGTTTATCTGAAGTAAGAGAACTTAGTTCTAAAGCTCCAAACCTGTCATGAAGTTCTTTTTCATGAATTTTCCCTGGCAAGAATTTAGGTAAAGATGGCACAATTTTCTGTGGAAGCATTTGGTATCTCTCTTTATTGAATTTAGTCCCAAACAGTTTTGACAAGTCATTAGTGTCTATGGTGGCATTAACTGCTTTAATTTCATCCCTGATGTCAGACATTGTCTTGGTTATTTCATCCAGATGTTTCCGTAGAGTTTGTAACTGTGTTTTTTCATCTCATCAACTTCATCTTTAAGTTTCTGGACAAGTTTGTCAATTTCTCTGTGCCAGTCCTCTCCATGTTTTGTTATGGCCGTTGAGAGATCTCCATATTCCTTTTCTAACTGACTCATTCTGTTTTGTACATCAGAGGCAATGTCCTGGTAGGTGGGATAAATTGTCTCTTTTAATTCGGTATGTTCTTTGATTATTTTGTTCTTTTTTTCATTCAGAATTTGCAAAATTGTAAAAAATTTATGACCAAGATGTTGATCAGATGCAATGCAAGTGTTGCAAACAGGAATGTCACATTGTTTACAGTACATTTCACATCGTTCTTTATCATGAGTTGCACATCCAGGGTAGAGGGGGGTTGATTTTCTGGACTGAAATTTGACGATTTTGTGATCCTTGGATTCATCTGTTGAGATGTGTTCTCCCACACAGGCCTTACAAATGTTGACAAGACATGTATCACAGTGCATCTGTACTACAGCGGTCTCACACAGGTCGCATCGCATCACGTCTTGGGCACTGGTACGGGGGTCCATGATTAGAAGGTTTGTGCCTTGAATATACAAAAATCTTTGTGAATATTTATTGACAGATAAGATATGATATAAAACAAAAAAATATAACAGAAATGTGTTTCAGAAAAATTAAAAGCTGAATATCATGAAGTATAAGGCTATTTCTTATGATCAATTAAATCGTTCAGTTATTCAAAAGATTAAGCAAAGAGTTTAAATACTGAATCAGAATGAGTCGAAACAGCTTTTCCGAAGATTTTCACATGTTGAGCTATGACTAGTAAATTGTCCTAATTTTGAAGGCCAAAAGATGGCTGTGAAAATTGTTAAATTATTCATAAAGCAAAAATCACCAACTATGTTATGTACAATTTACCAGTATATATATTAAGTGTAATGTACACAGTAAAAGACACTGAGAAAGGAGTTTTTGATAAAGAAATAATTACAAAAATAGTGAAATCTCATTCCAGTGATGAAAGAATATATCTGAAAAACTGATTTAAGGTCATTTTAAAAAGTAGAAAATAAATATTCTTAAGGAATAAACCTACCTGATATTTAGAAGACAATAATGGCGTCCGCCCAAGTACAAGTCCTCTTTCTCTTTACTCAGGTCACATGACTAGTGGCCAGTTTAAATCTGTCAAGTCCTTTATACTTCCTGGAATAAATCTAGGTTATATTTTATCAGCATTCAGGAAGAATTAATTTTTTAACTCAAGCACAAAACTTGCAACACTTTAATAGAAAGTAAGAAATTGAAACTTTACAAGGATCAAGCTGTAGAACTTTTTGACCAATGAAATTTGAATACACTTCAAAAAAAAATCTTGCTCACTATGATAAAGGAAATAGCAAAGTTAAACTCTTTTTAATACCTTTAATAGAAATACACCACTGATTTTGCAATGTTCATAAAGTCATTTAATTTTTTCATGTTTTTCTTCACAAACATCATGTTTCTAAAATTTCCAAAAATTGACATGGCATTTAAATGGGACTTGTAGCCAAATTCTGAATATTACTAATTAAAAATGCTGATCAATTTAAAGAGGTCTGTGAAATAGCCCCGCTTTGCTATAAAAACCGACATTCAGCAGCAACTTGATGCAATTTACAGTGTTTATACTGCAAAAGACGACACAAACAAGTATTTCATTCTTCAGCCAAACTTGCATTTGAATTATTCAGGTTTGATACGTGTTTCTGATCTGATAATTATTTGGTGACGTTCGTGATTTATAGGAGAATAATGTCCGTGGCTTTTCTTTGAAGTCGGCAATAATCATGGTATAGAATTAAACATAATGTATGCAAAGTGAACAGTTGAATTTTTTTAATGTAAATATTTTGAACAATTAGTGTGCATCAAGAGTTTATGATTTATGATGCACGTTATGTTTATGGGTAAGGTCAATTGATTGTACGTCAAGAAAAAAGTCAAAAGGGGAAAAAAAATTTACTAAACTTCCCTTCAACCACGAAAAAAAAAAAAAAAAAACTAGAGGTACTGTGACCTTTGATCTCATTAAATGATACCCCCGCCATATTTTGCCTTTGGCCGGGAAACCCAAAATATATGTCGAAACTAAAGTGAGCTGGAAATTTTTTAAGCCAAAGTTCAAGTGTTATAATGTATAAGTATTGTCTGTATCAAAAGCAACAGGAAGCCATAATAAGTGCAGGAAGTGAATAGATAATTTGAATGATCTTTTGTTAGTAGGAAGTTCAACATCTTGATCGACTGTTGTATTCAGAAAGGAAGTTTCCATATTTTCTAAGCCGAATAAAAGGATATAAGTTAAGAGTTCTCACTTTTGCTAAGTAGTCTTCATATCACGATATAAACTGTGAATACATCTACAGTATTATTTTGCTGGTCAAATTAAAATTGCAGATGTCTGATTTTAAAAAGATTCTCCCTTTGCCCCCCCCCTCCCCCAATCGCTAAAGGAAAGCAGATGACTCTAATATATATTACAGTTATCAAACATGTCGGCCGTGACGAACGATTGAAATTTTTTTTGATGGTGATTACAAACATAATTCAATAAAAATGAGTAATTTAAGATACTAATGAAGCGAACATCTATGTTATTTACGGCAGTATAGTTGTTATCTAACCAAGCGTTGGCGTAAACTTTTAACATTTTCATCTCCTTCTAAAGAACCATTGGGGCAATTTCAACCAAACTTGCCACAAAGTATCCCTTAATGAAGGGAATTCAAGTTTGTTCAAATGAAGGGCCACTTTCTCTTACAAGGGAGTATAATTAGGAAATAGTGAAAAATTAATGACATTTTATAAATCTTCTTCTGAAGAACCACAAGGCCAGGAAAGATAAAACTCATGTGGAAGCATCCTCAGGTAGTGTAGATTCAAGATTGTTCAAATCATGACCCCCGAGGGTACGTTTAGGGCCACAATGGCCAATCAAATTTCTATATAGGAGTATATATGAAAAATCTTTTAAAATCTTCTTCTCAAGAACCACTGGGCCAGGAAAGATGAAACTCATGTGGAAGCATCCTCAGGTAGTGTAGATTCAAGATTGTTCAAATCATGACCCCCGGGATAGGTTTGGGGCCACAATGGCCAATCAAAGTTTTATATAGGAGTATATATGAAAAATCTTTTAAAAGTTTTCTTGTCAAGAACCACTGGGCCAGGAAAGATGAAACTCATGTGGAAGCATCCTCAGGTAGTGTAGATTCAAGAATGTTCAAATCATGACCCCCGGGATAGGTTTGGGGCCACAATGGCCAATCAAAGTTTTATATAGGAGTATATATGAAAAATCTTTTAAAAGTTTTCTTCTCAAGAACCACTGGGCCAGGAAAGATGAATTCATGTGGAAGCATCTTCAGGTAGTGTAGATTCAATTTTGTTCAACTCATGACCCCCAGGGGTAGGATGGGGCCACAATGGCCGATCAAAGTTTTACATAGGAATATACCCCAGTATATAGGGAAAAAAAATCTTTTTCTCAAGAACCACTTGGCCAGAACAGATGAACCTTATGTGGAAACATCTTCGGGTAGTGTAGATTCAATTTTGTTCAAATCATGGCCCCCGGGGCTAGTATGGGGCCACAATGGCCGATCAAAGTTTGACTTGGAGTATATAGGAAACATCTTTAAAAATCTTCTTCTCAAGAACCACTGGGCCAGAAAAGATGAAATTCATGTGGAAGCATTTTCAGGTAGTGTAGATTCAAGTTTGTTCAAATCATGACCCCTGGGGGTAGGTATGGGGCCACAATGGCCGATCAAAGTTTTGAATAGGAATATATTGGAATTTTTTTTTATCTCAAAAACCATTGGGACAGGAAAGATGAAACTCATGTTAAATCATCCTCAGGTAGTGTAGATTCAAGTTTGTTTAAATCATGACCCCCGGGGCTAGGGTGGGGCCACTATGGCCGATCAAAGTTTTAAATAGGAATATTTAGGAAACATCTTTAAAATCTTCTGCTCAAGTACTTCAAAGCCATGGTTAGTGATATTTTTATGGAATCATGCTCAGGTAGTGTAGATTCTAGTTTGTTCAAATCATAACCCCCAGGGATAGGGTGGGCCATAATAAAGGATTCAAGGTTTACATTAAAATATATTTTTGAAAATCTTCTCAAGAATAGCAAAGCCATGAGTACTGGTATTTATATATAAGCATTTTCAGGTGTGTAGATTCAAGTTTGTTAAAATCATAACTCCCAAGGGTAGGGTGGGGCCACAATGGTGGATCAAAGATTTACGTAGAAAAATTTAGGGAAAAAATCCCAAGAACATAAAAGTTATGTTTAGTACTACATGTAGTCATATTGACATGTACAAGCATCCCCATGTATTGAGGATTTAAATTTGCTCCAAATCATGGCCCATTGGGGTAGAGAGGGAAACAACGGGGAAACAAATTTAAATTATTATGAAGTTATTTATAGGGAAAAAAATGTTTTAAAAAATCTTTTTATCTAGAACAGCAAAGTCATATGCTGTATTAATAACAAGGTATTCTCAAGTAGTATTAAAATTCAAGCCCCCCCCCCTTTGTAAACTTTTTAGTTCTGACCTGATTCCAATATGCTCAGGTGAGCGATGTGGCCCCTGGGCTTCTTGTTCCCTATGTATATATATTGACAGTTGTATGGTGAAAACCTAGTAAGTTGTTAGAACTTGTGTTCAAACCATTTGTATAGTATTTGTACAATAAAATATGTTCAAAGCATTCATATACGATTGTATGTCAAGGCTAAGTAAGAAAACTGGCTTTCCTCATTGGAAGATTATCACTGTATACGTAGAAGGAAATCTAGAGCAGTTAACCTTTTTAACACAAAGAATGTCAATTTATTATGCGTACCCGTATACACTAGTGGGCATCATTTATAGTAAACACCCCGTGGATATAAAGATATAGAAATAAGGCTATAATATTACATTATATCACCCTTTGTTGCTTTTATTATATAGTTGTATAATAAATAATTAACCTGTACAGGTATTTATAGGGTTGGTAATAACAATGATATTTGTCATTACAACAAAAGGGTTCCTTCCAATCGATTGTGTCATTTCCAATCAATTGTTACGAATATTTTAGAGAGTGGTTGCTTATATTTCAACTAAATATTTAAGTAAAATTGTAAGCTCACTTGACATTTTTTGAATCGCGTTTCTCATTGTAATAGATTAGACTGCGTTGTAAAAGATCAGACTTATACGACTGAAACCAGAAAAAACTAGATGCGCTGTGAGCATTGACCTCACTAAATGATGCCCTGCCTCCCATATGATTGTATTGGCAAAGTCCATGTATTGCTCTGGAAGTCCCAAAATAAGTGTCAAATCAATTTGTGAAATAAGATATGTAAAATTATTTCATTATTAGCAGTCCTATTTGTGAATCCATACGAAGCAAAATTTGTCCAAAATCTTTTACAGGAAAAGAAAAAAAAGTTATTGTAGCCCTCAACTCAATAATTAGACATATCGACGGCGTATTTGCGAAAAAAAACGAT